AAAAAAAAGAAATGCATATATGTCTGAAAATGTTTCCAATTTTGGGGAAAATTGTAGACTAGATGCTAATGACAGTAGGTATTATCACACTGTGTAAAGATAATCAAAGATAATCAAATGGCAGTAACCCAAATGGTTGTGATAGAGTTAAACTGTTGGTGTGGTGTCTACTGGCGCTGTGATCCAGAGGATAGACTAGAAGTGCTCAAACTTATTAAATTAAGGAATGAAATTAATAGCAACCTGAACATATGTCCTGCCTGAGTGCAATAAAGTTCTTTTCTTAAGACTGTAGGAGTCCAACCCATGTATGTGTATAATCTTAGGTAGTGCTTTTCTTTTTGGAGAACTCTGGATTAAAGACTTCAGTAAATTTTAAAGTTGATTTTTGCTTATGAATACGATATTTTAGTAGCCCTAAATAATTCTTTAAGTAGGCTATTAGAGAATAGCGTTTGGGTATGTCTAAAAATGGGAAGGACTTGTGATTATGGCTACTTTTGTGTCCTCTTAAGAGACTGAATGTCATCATTTAAGGATAGAGAGCATCTTCTCATCAGGCACTGTTGTGGTTTGGCTTCCTTTCTGATGCCCCTGGAAATCAAAGGGAAAGAAGACCCTTTGTCTGTATTTATTTTGTTCTGCTGAGGCTTTCAATCCCTGGGGGTTTGACTTTACTTTCAGATAAATAAATACAAGTTAGGTAGGTAGGTAGGTAGGTAGGTAGGCAGAGAGTAGAAAGGGAGAGAGTGTGAGTACATGCATGCATGTATACTTAAATGCTTATTTTAGGAATGAAGATGGAAAATTAATGAGGTACAGTAATAGCAGAGTAACTTTAATCAGAACCACCCTACCACAGATCGTGGCTATAAATTCTGGATGAAATATAGAAAGGACATCTCAGCCTTCAGAGTAATTGTTTCTTTCTTGAGTGATCTTATCTTTTCTCTCTAGCAGCTAATGAAGTCCTTTTATCTTTGGTGTTCTATAATTTGACTATGATGTGTGTATTTTTATTTACTTTTGATCTTCCTTGAATTTGTATTTATGTATACAGCTGCTTACTGAATCGGAGGGGGTTATATTTCCTTATTTCTGGAAAAGTTTCAGTCATTTCCTTGAAATATTTTCCTCTATTTCCCCTTATTTTTTCTTTAGAAATTTGTAATCACGAGAATGCTCGACCTTCTCACTTGAGCCTCCATGTATTCTAACCTATCTTTTATATATATTCTTTTTGTCCAGCGTTCTCTGTTCACTATAGTCAATATATGTTTTAAGTTTTATTTTCTGATTAGTATTTCTCCTGTCTGATATATCTAATTACCCTTCAGATTTCTTTTTTTTAAATTAATCATTTTATTGGGAGGCTCTTACAAATCTTATGAAAATCTATCATTCAATGTATTAAGCACACTTGTACATATGTTGCCATCATCATTTCCAAAACATTTTCATTCTACCCTTGGTATCAGCTCCTCTTTTTTCCCCTCCCACCTCCACCCTCCCACTCTCGTGAATCCTTGATCAATTATATATTATTGTTATTTCACATCTTACATTGTCTGTTGTCTCCCTTTACCCACATTTCTGTCATTCGCCCTCCTGGGGCATGGACTATATATCCAACCTTGTGATGGATTCCCTCTTTCTCCACCTTCGCACCCCCTCACCATCCCCCTACCATCATGATATCAATACTCCCACTACTGTTCCTAAGGGTTTTATCTGTTCTGAATTCCATGTGCCTACAGCTCTTATCATACCAGTGTGTCCTCTGGTCTAGCCGGATTTGTTAGGTAGAACTGGGTCATGGTAGTTGGGGAGGAAGCATTCAGGAACTAGTGGAATGATGTATGTTTCGTCGCTGCTATACTTCACCCTGGTTGAATTTTCCCTTCCTTGTAATCCTTCTGTCGGGTGATGTGCAGTTGTCTATAGATGGGCTCTGGGTCTCCACTCCAACTCCCCTCATTCACATGGATATAATTGTTTGTTTTGGAACTTTGGATATCCGGTACCTGATCCCTTCGACACCTCATGATCACACAGGCTGGTGTGCTTCTTCCATGTGGGTGTATTTGTTGCCCTGCTGGATGGCTGATTGTTTAACTTCAAGCCTTTAAAACCCCAGATGCTATATCTTTTGATAGCCGGGCACCATCCGCTTTCTTCATCACATTCTCTTATGCACCCATTTTGTCTTCAATGATCATGTCAAGAAGGTGAGTATCAAAAAGTGCCAGGTTATTAGAACAAAGTGTTCTTGTGTTTAGGGAGGCCTTGAGTAGAGGCCCAAAGTCTGTCTGCTATCTTAATACTTAACATATAAGTATATGTACCTTATCCTCGATCCCTTTCATTATAAATTAATATATTTACATATGTATGCCTATAGCTATATGTCTGTAAATAGCTTTTGCTTTCTACTTCTTTCTTCTATTTCCTTTTACCTTCCTCCTGTCCCACTATCATGCTCACCCTCACTTGGCTCTCAGTAATTCCTCTTGGATATGTTGCACTTGATCAAACCCCATCAGGCCTCCTCGCCATCATTTTTAGAGCTCCTGTTGTTCCCTTATCCTTGAGTTTGTTGTCTCCCCACTCCCACTCCCTGCCCCTCATCTCTCATGTCTCCCCAGGACCACTGATCCCGCTGTTTTCTTCTCAGGATTGTTTGTCCTGCTTATATTAAAAGATATAGGGCGAAACAAAACAAAAAAGTACCCAATGGATAGTTCCTGGTCTGTCTGCTGACCCTTATGAGTTTTCCAATCAGATCTGATGAGGTGCCAAGCCTTGCCCCCGAGTCACAAGTCTATTTCCAGGATTCCATTGCTCTTCTTGCTGCCCTGTTGCACTCCCTTTGCAATTCACCTCGCTGTGCATGGGGCAGACCAGGTACACTTTCCACACAGTGTCTCCAGTGCTGTTCCCTGTTGCGCTGTCAGTGAGGGAATATAGTGTCTTGCTTGTGGTGGGGCTGGCCCTTCAGTCGTCTCTGTGTATTGGCTGCTCCAAGCAGGGATGTTGTCCCTGGGGCTTGGTGGGTCATGATGAGGTCCTCTCTCTCTCTTTCTCTCTTAGCTTGCACTGTGTGGTCTAGACAGACCCACCACTCTCCCTGGGCTATGTCTTCAGTGCTGTCCTCTGGATTCCATTATTCTAGGAAGGGTGTTTGTGTTAGTCCGGGTGGACTAGAGAAACAAATTTATAAACATGCATATGTGTGTAAGAGAGAGTTTTATATACTAGAGCAATTGAATATTGAGAAAACATCCCAGCCCAGTTCACAAGTCCAATATTAGCCATATGTCCAATGCCATTCTCTAAAGTCCTCTTCAGACTCACGAAATACATGCAATGATGCCAAATTCAGGAAGATCACAGGCCAGTGGGTTGGAAGTCTTGTGGATCCAGTGGCATTATAAGCATCTCAGCACTGGCAGAGGTCTCCACAGGGTTCCTTCAGCTCTGAAACTGACTGCCTCAGTTAACTTCATGTGACTTCTCAGAAATGTCTTGCAGGGAGTGAGCCAGGAGATAAAATGTTTCTCCTCCAAGGAGGAAATACAGGAGTTCCCAGAATCCTCAGGAGAAGGCCATGTCCACACAGAGGCTTCATTGGCTGTGACCGAATTGACAGAGTAGACTCCACCCCTTCACTCTTAATCCTCTCAAGTCCCAAATTGACACCAGATTATGTAACTACCATTGGGTCAACATAGCTCAGCTTGGGCCTGGCCCCATTGGGGTTTCCATTTTGATTTTATAGTTTCACTTTTATAAGTTCTAAATTCTCTTATAAATTGCCTGGTTCTTAGGTATTTAATGCTGCTATAATAGGAATTATACACATGGATGGCATTAACAGAACAGAAGTTTTTCCTCTCACAGTATAGGAGACTGGAAGTCCCAATTTAGATTCCAGCTTTAGATGAAGGCTTTTTCTCTGTTGTTTCCTGGTCCTAGGAGGTTCCCAGTACAAGGACCCTGGGTTCAAAGGACAAGCTTTGCTCCAGGGTCTTCTTTCTTGGCAGGAGGTACCTCTGATCTCTGTTTGCTTTTTTGATCCTTTTATACCGCAAAGAGATTGACTCAGAATATAACCTAATACTGTGGATTATATCTTACCTCGCGAACATAACTGGCTTGAGTCTTGCTTCATTATGCCAGAGGTGAGAATTGATAAGGTGAGGATATATAGGTTACAAATAGAGGATTGTTACGTAATCAAAGAGATACTATGTAAAATAGAAAATGTGAAGTGTCATGTGTCGCTCTCCCTTGCAGTCACATGTTTTGACTTTGGACATGTGTCAGGAGGGACTACTCCCTGGAGAAGGACATCTGCTTGTAAAGCAGTATGTACATCAGCAAAAAAGAGAATGCCCCCAGTCAGATGGACTGACTTAGTGACTGCATAACAATGAATGTGAGCTGCTGGGCGTAGGAAGGGGCAGCATTTCCTTCTGTGGTGCATGGGATCACTGAGTCAGAACGGCACTCAACAGCACTAACAACCACCACCACCCAAGGTGGTGGGCAGTCTCTGTTGGGAAGTGTTGACGCTTCCCATTTTCCTCTGGCTTCATAGAGACAGACAGGACTTCCCACATCTTAAACTTTGATCTGTTTTGCAAAATTATAGAATCAGACACCTAAAATGTAAGGAAACCCCTCTCTATGTTAAGATTCTATTAACTATGAGACATTGTTTTGAGTAAAATGTAGTGTGAGTAGACCAACATTTCAATACCATTTCCTTTTACATTTCAGGCTAATGCTGATGACCCTGTACAATGTGAGCATCAATTTGAAGGGCTTAAAGTACATCAGTGAGAATCCAGGCTTCATCCCTTTGCTGTGGTGGCTTCTGGGTGGTAAGTAGGTTTTGTGCGTACAGCTCTGTGTACAGCTTACGTAACTGCTGCTCTGGAGCTGAACTGAGTTTTAAAGTAGTAGACAATAGGATAGATCATCCCAAGATGATGTACTTTCTTTAAAAAATAAGGCAAGGAAAACTCAATGATACGTTGAGTTGCTTCGAATTATGCTTGTGAAGTATTGCTTTTGATCTGGATATGGTTTATTGGAATTGATTCTGTGACACAAAGAAAAGTTCTCCTATAAAACAGATGATAATGACAAAACTATAATAATTTATGAACTATGAAGGGTTCATGAGGGAGGGGGGAGTATGGAAGGAGGTGGAAGTGAGCAACTGACATTAGGGGCTAGAGTGGGAGACAAATGTTTTGATAATGATGAGGGCAACAAATGTGCATATGTGCTTGACACAATGGATATATGTATGGATTGTGATGAGAATTGTATGAGGCCCCAATAAAATAATTTAAAAACAGATGATAAGTGGCATTGGCTTTCCCTTTGCCTGTAAACAGCACAGTACTTTGTGTAGCTTGTGTGACTTTGCATATATCAGGCAATGAAAAAGTCCCCTTGTTAGAGCATTTGGGTAAAAGAAATCTGAGAAGTACTACAAATCTGAAGGTAAACATATACATAAAAAAAAATCCATGTCCAGGCGATTCTGACTCATAGCAACCACAACATATGAGGATAAATGAAAGAACAAGAAAACAAAAAACACATTGCTATAAAATCATTAAAAAATTTATCAAACTATATCAAAATGTGAAGTGATTGGAAGTACTTTTGTACCTGTGTTGAAAATCAGTAGTCCATTTATGTGGGTGCCTTGCCCTGGATTCTGTATTCTATTCTATTTTTCATTTTTTGCATTATGCCAATACCACTATTTATAATAAATCTCAAAAGCTTTATGATAAATTTAAAAGCCAGATAGCCTAAGTCCTCCAACTTTGTTCTTTTTCTAAGTTGTTTTGTTTTTTTTCTAAGTCCTTTTCATTTCTATATGAATTTAGGATCGGCTTGTTAATTCCTACCAAGAGAAAAGCCTGTTGGGGTTTTTATTGGATTTGTGTTGAAGTGACAGTTCCATTTGAGAATTGGCATTTTATCTGTATGTGCTTGTCTATCTACATTTACACATTCAGGCAACGCTGCGCCTCAGACATCCAGGCAGCCATCAGACTTCTAGGAGACACACACCTACTAGCATCAACCATTCTATGCATGCTCTATTCCTCTGGGATTAAACTGGGCATACAAGATACAGAGTATCAGCAAAGTGAAAGTTGTTTTTATTCTTTATAGAAAGAGAATAGTAAAGAGCAGCAACACATCAAAAGGAGATCCATGTACCTTCCCCAAATTACTCACATCTATTCTCATGTCGCGTAGCAAGACACTGTGCTAATATCCTAGGAACCCTGGTGCTGTAATGGTTATGCAGTGGGCTGCTAGCCGCAAGGTTAGCAGTTTGAAACCACTGGCCCCTTCTCAGGAGAAAGGCAAGACTTTCTACTCCTGTAAAGAGTTACAGTCTTGGAAACTCACAGGGACAGTCCTATCCTGTCCTATAGGGCCACTATGAATGGGCATCAACTCAATGGCAGTGAGTCCATGCTCATATCATTGTTGCTTCCCCATGCTACTCGGGACATGTACAACTCCCGAAGCATCTGCTCTGTTGCTGGACCTCCCTGGTCTCTGCTGCTGGTCCCTGTCATGCGATCTGGGCCTGCAGGATTCTCTTGTTGCCATGCTACCTGGGCCTCCGCTGCATGAGGGGAGATGTGCAACCCTTGTATGGGGTACACTCAGGCCTCTTATATGGGCACAAACAAGTGCTATAGCTCTTTTTGGTTCTGCTGGCAAGCTTCCTGCCCAGAAGTATAGTTCCACCTGCTGTAGGAAAAATCTTGCACTGGATCCTTTGAGGCCACCCCAGCACGGGTATACTCTGTCTTCTTTCCTACATGGCAAGTGTTACCGCTATTTTAATTTCGCCAGCAAGGGTCCTGCCTGAAGGCATTCAGTTCTTCACGCTGTTGGCTGACAGATCCACTACAGCTGCCTCCATCCATTGTCTGGGAAGCCTACCACAGCCATCTTATTCTGTGGGCTGGCATCCACCACTGCTGTCTCTCTATCTCATGTCCTTTTCACTGTTAGCTTCTTCTTATGGGCATTGTTAGGTTCTAAGCACAGGAACCGTAGGTTCTTGGTCCAAGGGATACACTCTGTTCCAGACTCCTCTTCATGATAATGAAGTCTCCTTGAACCATAACCTTACTCCTTTGTCAGTTTTCATGTTGAATCTCCCCAGTAGACCATAAGTCACTCAATCTGCATTGTCTTAGCTGCTTATGTGTGAGTTATAAGACCATGGCTATAAAGGTTATACATAGAAAAGCAATTCACAGTACAGTATTAACATTATTGACATGTTTAAAACCGTATAGAGCAACATTTACTTAGACAGCTGGAAGACAGGTTGTGTATGTTTCTTCATGTCTTCTAAACAGAGGCACTGGCTACCTTTGATCCAGGTTATCTTTTCAAGATATTTGTATAGTGAACACCTTCAGAGTACAGGGAAGATTTGTTTCCTTACATGAAATAAGGTAACATTCCTCACTACAGTTGATTGCCCCCCAAAACTGGAAAAAAGCTCCGCTGGGTAGAGTTTTCTTAGTATGCCTTTGTTCCTGATAGGCAAGCATTGAGCAACTCAATGCATCCAGTTAGTGCATCCAGTGGCATCACCTGGGAAGGTTCTCTCTGGTTACAATGAATTTTTTCATAAAAGCAGTTTTACAAAACATTTTTTACTCTAACCTTGTTTTTTGTGATGACTGATTTAAGAGAACATTGTGTGTGGCTGTGAAATTTTGAAACTGTTATGAGGCTGAGCACAGATTGCAAGGACAGCACTATGGGAAAAACTCAAGTATATGAGTGGTTTTCTTGTTTCAAAAAAGGTAAAATGTTAATTGATGACAAACCTCGTTCTGGATATTTGTCAACTTCCTGAATGGAAGATAATGTCAACTCATAGTGCATTTGGAGTTCGTTCCATCAGGTCAGACTGTTAATCAAGCTTTCTATTTAGAGGTTCTGAAAAGATAGTGTACCGGTGTGTGACAAAAAAGGCCTGATTTGTTGCAGACAGGGGACTGGTTTTGCCACCATGACAGTCCACCTGCTCATGCAGCCATCTCAGTTTGACAGTTTTTGGCAAAAACCAGCACACCTATCTTGCTCCATGCATCTTACTCACTTGCTCCTTACAACTTCTTTTTGTTGTCATGAATGAAGAGGGACATGAAAGGACAGAGATTTGACGAAGTAGAAGAGATGAAGGAAAAAATGGGGAGGTGCTGTCAGCCGTCCAAACAGATGAGTTTAAAAACTGTTTCCAAGAATGGAATCGCAGATTTGACAAATGTGTTAAGTGTAATGAAGAGTACTTTGAAGGGGATAAGGTTTTATAAAAAACATTTAGATACATAACTTTTGGGACGGAGGTGATTCTGGGTTTTTTTAAAATGGTATCTGCTTGCATTGTTTATAACAACACTTGGGTTCCCCCAGTTTGAGGTTTCCCTACAGTAACACAGTCCCTTGTGTCGCATTGCACTGTGGAACTAGGTCTCAATGATGAGGTGCTGCTGCTGAAAAAATCCTTTGTCTTGACCCAGGAGTCTCATGTCTTCTGTCCATATCTCTGGCACTCTGGCAGCCCAGTTTATTAGCAATTTGGACTAAAGCCTCTGCGGTGCCACAATTTCAGAACAGGTAAAGGGTGTATATTATACTACCTGATAGTCCTATCCCCTACGGTTGGGCATTTGAGCAAATAGCTCCCCTTTGTCCTTTTTTTTTCTTCTTCTCTTGATAATTCGATCTGAGATTTATAAAATCAGTGACATACTCTGGACTTTAATGTGACTTATCAAGATCAATTATCATATTGTGTCATGTACAAGTTTATGGATGGTAGTGTGAGGTAGTTTATTGTACCAACCTGACCGATAAACAAATGTGGGGTTAATTGAAGGGCGGAGGGATAAATGACTCTGTGAGCCTCGCCTTTCTAGTTCTTGGGTCTCTTGTTTTGTGATGGTTGAACCAGGATGCAGCTGCCTTAGCCAGCTTCTGCTTCAGCTGGCAAGGCTCACTTCCTGCAAGACATCACCAAGGAGAAGCTACATGGACTTATCCCGATGCAGCCCCGTGTGCTGGAGCAGCCGTGTGGAGACCCCTGCCAGCACAGAGATCTTACACGTTCACTGATTTGGCTTTCCTCTTGCAGTTGAGTCGGCATCACTGCATGTGTTTTGTGAGATGGAGGAGGACTTTGTGGATTGGTGTTGGACATATGGCTTAATGTTGGACTTGTGGGATTGGGCAGCACTGGGTTGGGGTCTTTTCTTGATGTGCACTTACCCTTTATATAAAACTCTCTCTTATACATATGGGTTTCTGTGGATTTGTTTCTCTAATGTAGGGAGAAGGGAGAGAACAATGACCTAAGGATACCTAATACTTTTTAAGTTCTTCACTGTTGTGAGTGCTTTACGTATATTCAATGATAAATTCTCTCCTCACCCCTGTTGATAGACACCGTCAAGGGAGTTCTGACTCACAGCAACCCTCGTACAACAGAATGAATACTGGCCATCCTCACAATGGCTGCTATGTTTGAGCCCATTATACAGCCTCTGTCAATCCATCTCATTGAAGGCCTTCCTCTTTCACTGACCCTCTACTTTTATTAACATGATGTCCTTTTCTAGGCACTGGTCTCTCTAGGTAACATGTCTACACTTGATTCTTAGGAGCATTCTAACTATATTTCTTCCAAGATGGATTTGTTCATTCTGCTGGTAGTCCATGCATATTCAGTATTCATAACTCACACCCTAATTCAAATCCACCAATTCTTCTTTGGTTTTCTTTATTCATTGTCCACATTTTGCATGCATGAAGC